GCTATCTTGTGACTATCACTATTTCCATGGCAAAAGATCTGATAATCTATATTCATTAGTTTCACTAGTTCAGACCTTCACTGTGAAAACCCGTTATGCCACGTACGCTGGGACAAACCATCCTCATTAGAAAGAAGCAATTTTCATTCGAACAGTTTCTGCCAAAGAACAGCCACTTTGTGAAACAGACTCTCGAGAGGATGCTTCCCCAAGCGCTACAATCTGGACGTCTATGATAAACCGTTATCTTGTCAACATGTCCTAATGATGTTCTTATCTCCGTCTCTTACCTACATACAACAACCTCATTCACTAACCCATTACCTTGAGTGACTCATGGACATGGTATTGGGTAAATAATTAGCAAATGTAAATAAATCAATAAAAAGAAATGACGTTTCTTATTAACTTGTATATGATTCTTAGCAAAACTTTATGATGACAACTAAATCGAAGAAGCATTTCACAATAACATCTTGAATCTTTTGCCTGTTCCGTCGATTTACAGACATCTTTCTGGAGATCTTGTAACATCATTTTTCTGTCGTGTTCTTTTTTTTTTTTTTAACTTCATGGCACTTTAAGACTTAGGCGATCATAGCTCTCCCCATATTCCATTTCTTTATTATTGGTGAACTGGCCTTAGTTCTTGGAAAGAGTAGAAGGACTCCGTTCTTTACTGTTGCGTACCCCACAATTATACATTCAGAGTAGTCATTCTACCAGACTGGCTACTATTTAAGGCTAAATTGCCTAGTTTCCACTATTTCCTGTGCTTTTGGTTTTATCACACATTATATATATATATATATATATATATATATATATATATATATATATATATATATATATAATGTTTGACTGAATAAATAACAGACATTATGTCTGCTAATTTTCAAGAAAATCTGTTCATACTAACGAATAACCTTCTGTGTATTGATGTTAAAGGATGAGAGAAATGTGCTGTAACTGTTTAAATTTCTTTTTTCATTTCCCCAAGTACTTTCGATATTTTTCCCAGATCATCTTCAGGGATGCAAGTAGCACAAAACTATATGTTGTTCATTAGTATAAGTATTTATACAAAGTTGTGCGTTGTTATCCATTACCGAATTTTTTCATTATGCTTTTAAATGCAAAATGCTTGATAATATGTCGGGAAATGCAAAAATCCGTTGGCTAAATCCTGTTATTTTATACAGAACTAAAAGTTTAAAAAACTTTCCACGGTGACGGATAAAAGGAATAAAAAACGCACCAAAAAGAATACATCTATATGACGCATGCTGTTTTTCTTTTTACGCATATTAAAGATTTTATCCACAATGTAAGCTACTGTCTCCTGTGGTAAAATACAGTGGAACCTTAAATTCGTACCTGAAGCCCGTTCGTAAACTGAAACTATTTTTCCATTAAGAATCAGTGTAAAATGGATTAATCCGTTCCTGGTCCTAAGTGATTGCTAATGAAAATCATTAAATCTAAGAAAAAAAAAACAAAAACAAAAAACAAAACAACCTAATACTAAATAGATAAAATATAGATGAACAAGTCAATTTTACCTTATCTGCATTTAAGAGAGTTGATGACTTAAGGGGAAGGAAAGAGACGTTATTGTTTAAAAAAGGGAGATTGAAAAGACATGATTGTCTCTTTATTTATAAGAATAGTATAGAGCGTTGATTTGGCCATATGAAACTGAGTAGGAAGAGACAATATCATCAACAATTGTTTTTCTCTTAACTTTTCTTTTTCCTTTATCGGTATCACTGTTGCTTTTTTTGGAGCTACGACTGAGGAGTAATGAAGAGAAAAAAAGGCACAGTACAATAAAATTAGAAAAGAAAAGCACAGCAAACATACGGCGGTGGACTAAGAAATGATTTCGTTCGTGTTAACTCGGTTCGGTAATGTTGTTCGGGAACCGAAATTTGTCTGATAACCGGGGTATTTTCATCTCGAGAATCGTTTTGTTCGACATGCGAGACGTTCGAGAACCGAGGTTGCACAGTATATTTTATTTAATGGAGGATATTTATTTTGCATAATAATGACTTCTAAAATTTGGAGTTTTTCCTTGCATTGGGTGCGGCATAGTGTTTTTGACATTATCCAATAATATTTATCTTATGTTGATAGTTGTATTTTGGTTGTCCGTGATGTGCCAATCAATATATGCACGAATTACGTTAGGTGACAAGTCAACCTACGAGAGAATGTAGTGCATGTGTACCCTATGTAAAAGTTTAATAGTACTTTTTTTATTGTTGTTATTTAATTCCAGAGAGCATGAGAAATCATTAACATTATTATTTTATTTTTACATTTGTGAGGTTTTTGGGGTATCGATAGCAAATAAATTAGATGTTTTGAAATTTTTGTCAGTTATGTGCCATGCGTGATACACGCTTAGGTATGTATCATGTATCTTTCGATACATGACTGACAAAACAGATTTTTTCCCCGCAGTAGTTTGCCATTTCTTTCTGGTTGGTGAACAAGCACAAATGTGCCTGAGCAGGTCTCTGTAACAGGGGTTACCGAGCCGCTTTAGCAGACGGATGCGCTCAGGAACAAGTAGCCAGCCATAATTCTATCTTTGTGGTCAGCAAAATAAGCCACAATGTGAATATTCCTTCACAGCTAGGACCCGTCATGCCACTTACATAGTAGCGAAACACCCTCATTCCCTCCGTATTCCATCGGTGAGAAGCAAGTTCCACTCGAGCAGCTTCTTCCCGCGAACCACTGCCCTTAGGAACCGACTCCCAAGAGGATGTTTCCCTGATCACTACAATCTTAACATGTTCAAGTTGACGATTAACCGTTATTGTCCACTCCTATCCGTATAAACTACTCCTTAAGGCAATCCTCTACATATAGTGTGCCTCGGGGCTTGTACAAGGTGACCTTACTGAAAAAAAGGTCAATGTGGCTTTAAAATAAGATCAATAGATTTACTGTTTCAATCTTACTCTGGATAAATTTCCTTAGCAATACACTAATGCTAAATGACAAGCATAAAAGTAAAATTGATAAAAATTCGAAGAATTTGCAATGTTCTTGGTCCTGACCTGGCATCTCGGCTTAAGTCACTTTCCCACTGACGTGACGTAGATTCCCTGTACCTTTTCTATAAATATTTTCATGGTGACAGTTCTAATGACCTCTCCTCTATGGTACCTAGAATTTATGAATTTAAGGGCAGTATTAGATTGTCGGCAAGATCTCATCATTTTACAATTGAAATAGCTAGATGTAACTGTAAGTTCTATGCTAACCGTTTCTTCCCTCACACTTCTGTGGAACCCTGTTCTAGTTTGTTTTCTAGACAATTTTGATCTTCAAAAATTCAGTAATTATAAAATTGATAATATAATTGCTGGCTGCTTCATTTCGAGAACACAGCATCTTTTTATTTTAAAGTTAATTTTTATTTTAACAACTGTTAAGTTTTAACTTTCTAAAACTGCTCATTTTCCGTGCACCTGTTTCCAGATAAATAGATCAGTTGCCATCCAAGGCTATAGTACCCGGTCTGTCCTTTCGTTCTTTCTTTTTAGCTTGGGGGGCGGGTGAGAAGAAGAGTATTCACACCTTTCCAAAGGGTATTAGCACGTAAATGAATGTAATGGATTCGACTGGAATTCGAACTCGGCTCTCCGATTCCTTAAACCGAGCCGCCCTCCATTACTCCAACGTGCTTGAACTTTTGGTAGTAAATGATAAATTGAAGGTTTTTGTTGGGATTCTCTTTATCGACTACACTTTTGAATAATGAGTTGTAGGACTCATACAAAACGTGAATACTAGTCTTCTACATGTACAAGCACTTTTGGATATCTGAAAAAAATACTTCCAACCTCAGCTTCCGGGCCTAGATACGATGCGTCGTGGGCATGGTTTTATTTAAGAAGCGTGGACAAATATCACATGATTTCGATTTTCATTGATTGGTAGGTTGATTTTACTACATGACAACTCTTGGTTGGTGATCTAATATCAAATTTTCTATGGAGCACAAATTGAGGATCGAACTCAGTACGTAGTAGTAACGGTTAAACAGATTAGCGTTGTTAATCATTACCTCACGCCTAAAATTCTGGTCCTCACTGGTTAAGCAATGATTGTTGCCTTGTGCCAAAATAAAACATTTCATTGTTTTGTGCGGTTTAAAAAGAAAATATTTTTCATGAAAAAAAAATTTATGAAATGCGGTTTAGAGAAAGAAAAATATTTTACAAGAGAGAAAAAAAAGAAAAAAAATTTACGAGAGAGAGAAAGAAAAGAAATTTACGAGAGAGAGAGAAAAGAAATTTACGAGAGAGAAAGAAAAGAAATTTACGAGAGAGAGAAAGAAAAGAAATTTACGAGAGAGAGAAAGAAAAGAAATTTACGAGAGAGAGAAAGAAAAGAAATTTACGAGAGAGAGAAAGAAAAGAAATTTACGAGAGAGAGAAAGAAAAGAAATTTACGAGAGAGAGAAAGAAAAGAAATTTACGAGAGAGAGAAAGAAAGAAATTTACGAAGAGAAAAGAAAAGAAATTTACGAGAGAGAAAGAAAAGAAAGAAAGAAATTTACGAGAGAGAGAAAGAAAAGAAATTTACGAGAGAGAAAAAGAAAAAGAAATTTACGAGAGAGAGAAAGAAAAGAAATTTACGAGAGAGAGAAAGAAAAGAAAAGGGAGAGAGAAAGAAAAGAGAGAGAGAAAAATTTACGAGAGAGAGAAAAAGGGGTTAGAGAGAGAAAGAAAGAAAGGGCGTATATATATATATATATATATATATATATATATATATATATAGAGAGAGAGAGAGAGACATTGGAAAAATAAGATGAGAAAATCGCAAAATAATTAGGAAGAGAATGAATGAAGAGAAAAAGAAATCGTTAACGAGAAAGGAAATACCACGAAATTCGCGTAGGTAAGGGAAGGGTCGATCAGGGGGGGGGTGCATCAAAAGAGAAAATTTAAGTAGTTAAGGTCGTAAGTAAATAACTAAGATGACAAGGACGGTTGGATCATTTTTATGTCCGATTGGCCCGCCAGAACACATGTTGGAACATTCTGTGATAGCTGATTAACTTTATAGCCACTAATGATAAGGACAGACAGAAGAGACCCGGATGTGATTCCAGGAGGCTTGTTTGATGATTGTGAGAAACGAGGAGCAAGTATTATGAAAAAGGATTGGGAGCCTGAGGTGTGCGACGGATGGTTGGAGCGGCGCGAGCAACCACAACGTTCACTCGAGTATAAAATTGTTCGTCCGGTCTCATAGTCTTTTTAACGACACAATTCTTAATTTTAGAAATCGGCCCTCAATGAGAACCTGGGTTCTAATGGGCGGCCTAGGGAGCGGATCTACACGCACGTAACAGGAATGACCCGTGGATGGAGAAGTTCAAAGAATTCTTTCAGGGTTTTTTCTTCAGGGGTGATTAACTTCGGAGTGGTCGGCATCTTTTTGGCTTCCTCCTTTGCTTTGCTCTCTATTACAAACTAAAGGACACTGTTCTTTAAAAACGTTTTAAAGTCATTCAACAGACGCCCGCGCACACATGCGTGCGAGTTTGCGCAAAGAACGCAAATACATTAAAACACACAAAATTTTACACACTCGCACACACACACACACACACACACACACACACATATATATAGAGGCTTACGGCTACATCACTTTGACACATCGGTTCCCGTACGATTGGAGAAGTTAAGCAACGTCGGAATTTTCAGACACGCCGGTGTCATTTTTTTTAATGCGACGAAAAATAAACAAAGAAGTGAAACTCACTCTTCCAGGAAATGTTGTTTTATTCATTAAGAAGAATTTGATTTCGGCCTAATAAACTATTAGGCCCAAATTAGATTTCTTCTATGTAATAAATACGAATGTCAGTGTGTCACACTTTTTCAACTTTACTCCTAGAGACCGTAGCCAATCATATGATACCATTCTGGAATCAGGCGACTGCATGAGGAATGTAAAAACGTTCCGGACCGGATCCGAAGTTTCCAAGTTTTCATTACTGCGATTGTTTTCGGCAATTTTCTTTTTTTTTTTTTTTTTACGTGATTTTTTGCGAATTTTTGTACAGTAACAATTTTTATAACTTGGAAATAAACTTACGAATAATTTAAATAAATTGTGTAATCCATCGAAAATGACCCCTAAAATATAAATAATTGTTTGTACGGAAAATAAGGACCTACGTACATCAAATTGTCTTTAAATTAAGTGACGACAGAAGAATTATCGTTGAACTTTTAAAAGGTAAGTGTAAATATTAATGCAATACTTAAATGCAGCGATCAATTTTGAGTTCTTTTGTAGTTTATTGTTGCCTATCGCAGTCGGCCACAATATGAATCACAAAAAGAAATTTTCGCCAACAGTGCACCATATTGCAATCAAAAAAGCCAAGTCTGCAGCGAAGAAAAGAAAGTTCCATGAAAATGAAAACCCAGATCAAACGGCAACCAGGAGAACTTCCAATTCTGAGAATATGCAGAGACTTAGGGACTCTTAAACACCTGAACAAACCGTATCAAGAGTTCTTGCTAAATTGGCCCCCGATAGAGCGGCTTTTAAGCTAGTACAGAAATATAAAACATGAAATAAATATTAACAACATTAACCTATTAATGCACATATTATAAGAGACATCTTTCATATATATATATATATATATATATATATATATATATATATATAAAGAGAGAGTTGAATAACTTTATTACAAAACTAGGAAATGTAACAGTAGCACGCCAGTTCTTTGTATCTATCTCCTATCCATAATACCGGGAGATGGGAAGCAACGTTATTCTTGTTTTGTTTATTGATTTTTGCAATAACGTTATCCTCCTAATCCTTTGTAAAGTGCGAACTAACGATTACTTATCCAACTGAACATTTTTTTGAGAACATAAATATTTTATTAATGGTACCAATTAAAATTAAAAATAAAGAAATATGATTTTATGGTAACGGCTTAAAAGCATTCACTTTGCCGATTTCTTAAAATGCAAAAAAAAAAAAAAAAAAAAAATAAATAAATAAATAAAATAAAACGAAAAAAAATCCTTTTCTGAAGTTTATTTTTTTTCATATATTACTATCGATTAAGCATACCCCGATTACGAATTGCAACTTTTTAAAAAATTTCTCAAGTAGAAAAATTATAAAAAAAAATAAAATAATTGAAATTCGTAATATTTGTAGTCATTAGAGGGATCAATTAAATCTGCATTGCAAACTTGATCACCCAATTAACTTTTATAAAATTTAATTTTTTTCTTTTGGTATTAATGATTTCAAGTGCGTAATCTATAGTAATATGAAAAAAAAAAAAAAAAAAAAAAAAAAGATTATTTTTACTCTTAATGCCTATTTTACAACTCCATCTAAAAACTAGATAACACCAAAACTGATGCGTTTTACCGAAATGAAAGTAAAAAGAAAAAAAAATCGATCATCAGGCTATTATATTTCAAATAAAACCAAAATTTAACTTCAAAAACATTCAAATTTTACAGTGTGTTTTTTTTTTGGGGGGGGAAGGGGAATTTTTTTCCGGAATTCAACGTTTTAGCAAGTTTCATAACAGGCAAAAATATCTTGGCTATGAAAGTTGTAGATTTAATTTGTTCCCGTTCAGACTACATGCAGAGTCGGATTATGACCTATTGGGGTCCCTAGGCTTATGAAATGTTGTCCCCTACTACACATAACTCGGATGGACCAACCTCTAACTCATGAATATATGTTACCTCGAAGTAAACTTGTTGGAAATTCTTTAAATAAACTAGAATAACTATCTTGTCTTTCAATAAAAATAATCTTTAAGAAATATAACTATTTTACTATATATTGCTAACAAATTTCGTACATTTCAACACAATAGTAAAAAAAAAAAAAAAACAGAAGAAAAATATATTTTTTATAGCCAGCATTATAACAAAATTTTTAACATAAGTACGAGTTTAGTTATATTGATATAATTTCAGTTTTAGAAACTTTTTAGAAGTCATAACATCTAAAAGGAGGCACGATGGCGTAATGGATAGCAGCTCGGATTGAGGAATCGGAGAGCCGAGTTCGAATTCCAGTCGAATCCATCTACTGCAGGAAAAAAATCGTCAGTCATGTATCAAAAGATACATGATCGCTTATCACGCAAAGCACATAACTGACTGAACATTTAAAAAAATTAATTTCTATGATTTCAAATGTTACTTGCTTGAAACAATTCGAGGATAGCTTGCTCAGGTGCATTTGTGTTTATTTAACACCCACAGAGCCCAGTGGTTTATACTACTTAGCATAAACCTTAGTTACAGTTTCTGGGAAAAGAGCGTGTTCAGCAATTTGAACGAGGCCAATACGCTCGATGACTCGTAACTTCGTGCTAGCACAGCTATCGACGGCCCGTCACAAGGCTTGGTATGGTTTTCAGGTACTTTCCAGAGGTGCCACACGCTGGGATCGACCCCTTAAGTCCGATAGCATCAGAAAGTCTCATTCGTGACAAATAGACCATGGTGAGATTCGAACTCGTGTCTTATGGTCAGAATCCGAACGTTCTAACCACTCGGAAAGAACGACACATACTAAAACATTCTTCTCCTTGCTCAATTTCTTGCAAAAATTAAATAAATATGACGTTTTCATATTGATATCATTTCAATTTATGAAACTATTTAGCAGTAAAAACGCCTAGAAAATTAAAATTATTGCTTTAGGTTCTGGAAATGCCTTTAGGTCCTAAGCTGCTGCCTCTACCAGCCTAAAGGATAATCCGGTTCTGATTACATGTTTTTGTTTTGTTTGTTTGATTCATCATAATTTTTGGAAGGGTCAAAAATTATCATTTTCAATTTCCGATTCCTTGTTCCCGATGAGGTAAAAACATATGTTTGGGGGTGCATGCTTCCTATAGCAGATCTGCAAAGAGAATCACGTGACATTTGATTTAATGCAAATTTGAAAGATCTTAAATAGAGCGACTTCAAAAACTTTCTTATTTAAAATAAGAAAAAAATAAAATAAGAAGAAAAACAAACACACTTGAATGAATGTAATACGCGCCTACAGTTAATCTATCTCAGGCTTTCAAAAATTGAAAAATTGAGGGTGGGGCTCACATTGCTCCCAGAAAATTAGCCGCGGCCTGCAAGAGTAAATTTTTAGAGTAAATTACAGAGAGGCTAAAAATGGCGCGAATGCACTAACGCATACCAACGGAGATATAGCTGAAGTAAAAACACCGATTTAGGGAATGATTAAGAAAACGACGACCTTTTTTCTTTTTTTAAATAAACATGGTTTAGATTTAGTTTATGACACTTTACCACAGGTTTCCTAAGCTTTGGTAGCTGGTTAAGAGATACTTTAAATAAATATTACAATATAACAACATTTTGTAAATTTGTACACATGTAATTTTTTTCACGGCTCACATTATCAAATTTAGATTATGAATTCAATCAGCAATATTACGTTTTCATAAAAAAAAAAAAAGCTTACAAAAAATTCATCGTCCTCCACTCCAGTATTTTAAAAACAATTTTGAATTTATTTTTTATGTATAAACGTGTCGATTTTTGTAAATACAGACGTCCATACACGACATCAGGAAATAAGAGTATATTTACCAATTACTTACTTTTCTAACATTTTCTCAACGAGCGTCTTCCTAAGTAAAAGTACCTAAAATTCAATAAAATTTTAGAATGCTTAAAATATTTAAAATTTTCAAGACAACAGTGTAGTTATATATATATATATATATATATATATATATATATATATATATATATATATATATATATATCGTATTTCGGCAACATATTTTCATTAAGACATGTTTAATTGAAAATTTACATTATTTGGACTATTGTCCTCATCTTTGTCGCCATATTTATCACAACGTTTCGGCCTTCTTCAGGTGGTTGGAAGAAGGCTGGAGCGTACAACGGCCGAAAACGTTGTGATAAATATGGTGACAAAAATGAGAACAACAGTCCGAATAATGTAAATAGTATACATAATACCTCATCTCAGAAATATAGACAGATGTTTCGTTGAATAGCTTAGACACTTTCTGTCTACTTATTTTCGATAAGATCCTTTCATACTCGCGAATATGTTTTTGGTGTCATTATTGAAGGACAAGAGACGTCTCTCTCACTACATGTATAATATATATATATATATATATATATATATATATATAAAATGTGCAATTTTATTTGAATTATTTCCTTATTTAAATTTTAGAAACATATTCCTATCATTTCATCATTGAACACGTAAAAAAATACTTCCGTGTTAAAAATGCTTTGCTACGATATTTTAAACCAAAAATAAATAAGATTTGTTTAAATTCAGATTAATTAAACTTTAAATCAGCTAAATCTTAAATAATGTTTTATTTTTGAAAGATTTTTATAATCAAGAAAATTATCTTTCATATTTTCTGTTATGGCAAGGTTTATCTTGATTTCTATTCTTGAAACGTTATTCAAAACAATGTAAACTATATAATATAATTCACATTGCTATCTTCTTTATGAGTCATGTCCCCTCAGAACGTAGGCGATCATGGCTCTCCACAACTGCCTGTCCCTTGTAGTGTTTTAAAAATTTTGTCTTTCTGTTATCTCTCTTAAACCCTGTTCCACCATCCATTTACTCAAACTCCCTTAGTATGTTATATATTGTTTATCTTTGTTACTCTTGCGTATCAGATTCTCCAAGCCGTTTTTTCTTATTACCTACCCCAGAAACCTCAACAGTCTCTTCGTGATGAGAAGTACGTTTCCTTTTGTTTTCATTTTCTCTAAAACTTCGTAGTTGGTCAAGTCTACGGTATTCTGAGCATTTGAATCACATTTGTTTCAAGTCTCTTCATCATTGAAGAGATTGTCCATCACTCACTGCCATACAGGAGAACAGATATCACTTAGCAGTTTGATACTCTTTTCCTTGTTTCTAACGGAGATTTTCTATTTCTTAGTACTCAGCTTAGCTTTAGGAATGCATCTTTAGCTATTCCAATAGGCCTTCGGATTTCAGTGTCAAACGTTCCATAGTCTGGTATTCTTATTTTTAGTCGATATGATCAAAAAAAAAAAAAAAAAAAAAAAAAAAAAAATACGTTGGGTATTATAATAGGAGGCACGGTGTAGTAATGGATAGCAGCTCGGATTGGGGAATTTACTCATATTTATTATAACACTAGCGGCATTACCTGGCGTTGCCTGGGTTTATTAAAAAAAAAAAAATAAAGATCACGAACCTCATCCAATCTGTAAAGTTAAAATAAAGATTTTTCTTTAGTGCCTCTTATCTATATGGCGAAAAATTATAATGACATGAAGTGTGAAAACATTTATAACAGGAGAATGTTGTTTTTTACGGAAGCACAGAAGATACAAAAAAAATTGTCAGCAAATGAAGAGTACATTAATCGCAATCGATCTTCAAAAATTGTTGAGGAGAAATGCTTTGTTGGCAGCTTTTGCTTAAACTACATCGAATGAACAACAAGCATTGGAAGGAGAAGAAATTCAACAAAGACTTCTAGCAGCCATGCCAAAGCTGAAAACCAATGTTCACAAAGACTGTCTAGAATTGTTCTTTGCCTCTCAGTTTCGACAGCTCGAGTAGCAGGAGTCCTGGCAGCGTTCCTGCCTCCTCTAGTTAAACGTTGCTCATTAATTTCTACTGACCTTGCATTAGCTGTACGAATAGCATTTTGTGTCAGTCTAATTTGAGTTTCTTGTTGCGAAGCATTTCTTCTCCGTGCTTTCATGCGTTTGGCTGTAGTAGTAGCACGTTCAACTGAAGAATTTCGCTTTCTTGACATTACTGTCAGGCTGTAGTTCGAAGGGTTTGGTTAAGCTTTTTGAATAACAATGAAGTAATCAATTAAAAAGCAGGAATATTATAAACATTAATGGAAATATAGCCACAATAAATTAAATGCAAGTTTATAAGGGAGACCACGGGAACGTGGTAAACAATTATAAGCAAGCTCGTAAAGTTAGGATTTATCTAAAAATAGACTACCAGAAAAAAAATGTTCTCGTGATAAAAATAAAAATTAACGTGCAGCTAGAAACCTACTCATTATGAACGTTCAAACGTTCACGCTAAGTTTAGCATAATTATAAATGAATCGAAAGAGGGTCTTTACAGTATCATGAGTGCATTTTTCAGAATAAAACTGTCCAAATTTTAGGGCTCAAGTTTCCAAATATATGAGTTAGTAAGCATTATTTAAACGCTGATTAGATGATAAATACATCATTAAAAATTGGCATTTACGCTTGAACTTTTTAAATATGATTTTCACAAATTGAAATTTAAAGTATCAAAAAATTCAAAATATACATGAATTAAGTTTTTTACTGGATGACAACTTTGATGCGAATGAGATTTTTTTCATTTATTTCATTACATAGCACGAATGAACACTACACGTGAAGCAAAATCGATAGTACGCACTACATAACTCGATCATTGCACGTAGAGCAAAATTAATTGTACACACTACACATCTCAATCGATCTCGCACACGCGTCTTATACGTGCACTTCTCTCACGCGTCTTATACGTGCACTTCTCTCATCGGTGCACACTTTCGTTTGCACTTATTCTTTCTTTTCTTAAGGAAGGATATAATTTTTGCTGTCAAGTTAATGCAAACTAAACTATTTCAGTAACAAAACCGGGAAATCCATGGGAAAAACTGATATTTTTCATATTGTATTTATGACATATGGGGTATCAGTTTGATTTTGAGTTGATTGATCTAAACACAAATTATGTGCAAATTTTCATTGGAATGCTGCTAACCACTACAATTGAAAGACTAATGAGGCAGCAAGGTGTTCATGGCCCCTTATGTAGTTTTCAAAATCTGGTAATCGTTTTTGATTCATTTTAAGATTGTAATATACATGTAAAATTCCGTCGAAATCGAAGCAATTTAAAAATTTGGGGGTCCCTTTGGTTCACCCTAGGGTTCCCAAATTTCAAGCCAAAAGACAGGTTTAAGACTAATAGTAGTTGAAATAATAAAGCACATCTTTTTTAAGTTTTCTGTTTAATTGACTTTATGGCCAAGGCTGTAGACTTAATTGAAAATTTCGGGGTTCCCTGCTGGTACCCTAACTCGTGGGGGTCCCAGTGATGATATTCAGTGAATTCCAAGTGACTATTTCAGTTACTCGATATAATCTCAATACGTACTGAAATTTTCGTTGAAATTGGGGAATACTGCTACAAAATACACTTGAAAAGCAATTGAAGCATCAAGGCGTTTATAGGATCATCCTGGGGGCCCCCTCATGGATTTTAAAAAATCTGACAACCGATTTCTATCTCATTGTATGAGCATAACAAACATGCAAAGGGTCCCAGTGTCAAGAGAAACGAAAAACAATATAGTGTATAATAAGCGTGACAGTAAGTTGCATACACTTCTCAAGTTTCATTAAAATCGGCCTCAGGGTTTAGACTTCAAGTCTGAAAGTTTAAAAACAACCAAACTAATGGAAATTCCCATTTAAACATTTATCGATTATTGAAAAATGATTAATTTTTTTCCCAGACACACCCAGTATAGAGTACAATCTATGTTTCAAATTTGGTGAAAATATGCCTTATGGTTCTCGAGTAGTTCGCGAACACAGAGAGAGAGATAGATAGAGAGAGAGAGATAGATATAGATATAGATATAGATAGAGATAGATATAGATAGATATAGATAGAGATAGAGATAGAGATAGATAGATATAGATAGAGAGAGATAGAGATATAGATAGAGAGAGATAGAGATAGAGATAGATATAGATATAGATAGAGATAGATATAGATATAGATAGAGATAGATAGAGATAGAGATAGATATAGATATAGATAGAGATAGATATAGATAGATAGAGATATAGATAGAGATAGAGATGAGAGATAGATATAGGATGATAGAGATATGATAGAGATAGATAGAGAGATATAGAGATAGAGATAGATAGATAGAGATGAGATAGAGATAGAGAGAGATGGGAGATAGAGATAGAGATAGATGGGAGATGGAGATAGATGGAGATAGATGATGGGGATAGATGCGGATGGATGGGAGGAGGATGGGGATAGATGGAGATGGGGATGGGGATGGGGATAGGATGGGGATGGGGATGGGGATGGAGATGGGGATGGGGATGGGGATAGATGGGGATGGGATGGGGGATGGGAGATGGGGGAGATGGGGATGGATAGGGGATGGGGAGGGGATAGATGGGGATGGATGGGGATGGGGGATGGATGGATGGATGGGGATGGATGGGGATGGATGGATGGGGATGGATGGATGGGGATGGATGGATGGAGATAGATAGATGGATGGATGGGGATGGATGGATGGATGGGGATAGATGGATGGATGGGGATAGATGGATGGGGATGGATGGATGGAGATAGATAGATAGGGATAGATGGATGGATAGAGATTACCAAATTACTTCAAAGCTCTCCAGAAAATTATATTTCTACATTACATGACCCATAAGGAGTACATAACACCTCATCTCAGAAATATAGACAGTGATAAGCAGTGTTATGGGATCAAATATATTATTAAGAATCAAATACTATTATTCGTAGGTTCGTGCACAGCATTTTTCGATATCTTTTTACAGTTTAAAACTTTAAAGATCTAAGTGTTAATTTTGTTATTAAAAGCATAAAACAATAATACTTATTATTTCCTTTGATTTCTGTATACTCATTTCTTTCGATGTTCCGACCAGAGATTTCAGAAATATGACTGATCATTTTTGTTGTAGCATACCTACGGACGATAATAGGTATGTCCACATTCACATAAATACAGTAGTAAATACTGTATGTTGGTCTGCAGTCGGAGATTAGTCTTCAGCTGTGCTGGTCAAACCCTCTGCCTCCGGGCAGAGAGGATCCCCAAACGAGGCTACGACGAAGGACAGTGTTTTATCTCGGGAAAAAGCTACCCGAACACGTTTTATACGGAGTCTACGTGGAATTTTTGGCCGAGCCTACGGGTTCGGATACCCCACATTAAATTTGGCCTTGTGCCACATCTGATCGCGTGAGGCGGTTGGTAGATACCCTGCAGTTGGAGATTCATTGTTGAATTCACTTGAATCACTTCTCGAAGTTGACTACTACTACGCGCCACTGGTGGATCTTATATGTGTTGTTCTTGTCCTAACTATTATCGTTCCTTACCAAACCTTCATTTATTTTATTCAGTAACCTTCCCTAGATTACAACAATTCTTATGAAAACAAAAGTGGAGCACTCCAAATGCAACCACAATTCTTGCCTTCAGTTCATCTTTTGTGTTACAAAGAATTTTGTTGGTCTCTCGCTCAACTGCACCCCACAGATAATAATCCAGGGGGTTGCAGTCTGGGGAGTTAGGTGGCCAGATGTAAGGGGTGATGTGGTCGCAGAAATTGTCTGACAGCCATGACTGAGTTCTCCTGCTTGTGCAGCATGTTGTAGAGTCATGTTGCTAAACATAAGGTCTTCCAGAAGCCACTCTCTTGACCCAAGGAAGTACTATCTTAAGGTACTTGATGTAGGCCTCTGTGTTGACTCTGAGAATCTCACCAACAAATTCGGTTCTTTTTGTTTTATACCGTACCTACGAACACTAATGTGTATGTTCCAACCCTCATAAATAAGTTGGACACTATTGTAAGTGAGGGTAATATGCTAAGTAGTTCACCATTAGCAGCGGTTTACTTACTTCGAGTATTGTATTTTGTTGATATTATAAAGATTACCATTTCATTTCCATCCTCCGTTTTGGTTATTCCTCATTCAGTAACCTTTTCTAGGTTACACTTTTCTTATCAGAACGATCAGAGTGAGTTTTCCGAGCTCTCGTACCTTTTGTAATGACTATTAGACAAATCCAACTCTTTCTGAACCCTCTGTATTGTCCGAAGATTGACACCCAAACACCGGAATGTTCGTATTGGAATTTCTGGCGTGAATACCAAGCAGGACAGTATGACGTTTCCAAATTTCTTGCGGAGTAAATTGCATCATAGTACTCTTTTTCTCACAGACGGTGCCAAACTGACCCCACTAGAATGTGCAGTTGACAAAATCAAAAACAAAACGCATGCATGAAATTAAAACTATAAAATGGCAACAATTTGCGCCATCACACCCTGTTTTATAAGTAGTTTTTGAAGATCTTCTGGCTGATTATCTTTCATAGTTCTGTGTGTATTTTTAATTCCCATAAAATTGTTACAAGTCCTATCTGTGTAACCGGGTCTGGGTGATGTTCACACGACTCTCTTCCATTTTTCTTTTCGTAAATGCTGCAGATTTTCCAGTGCAGATATTGGCCCACTCTGCCACACCATATTTTATATTCAGTGGGTGCCAACACCGTGCAACCTATTTCTGGATATTTATCACAAAATCTGCATTTTCGGTAAATAATTTTTGTGTGTGTGCTTGGTAATTTCTAGTTAGCAAGCATTAGTCATGTGCAGCAAGAATAAAACTTTCGGTTTCAACATTTAACCCTGCACGACGTAATCACAGATGGGTAGTAAGTTTGTCTACATCAGCTTGATTGGCACGGGCAGAGTATTGATCACGAAGAAACTTGTCTTGCCATGGTTTCTACATTTGGTCCATTGCATTTGTTTTCATTTTAGGTTCTTTTCATCATCATCATCAATTTATTCATTCATTCATTGAATATCCTCTCGACCTTAGCCGGATCATGAACGTCATGTATCAGCTGTCCGCAGTTTAGAGACACAAAACAACCAAAGGCGATCTGCGTAGCACAAAGAATCCTGGAACAATCCCGTGTGTACCAACTGCAGAAGGAACAACTTGAGCTGTTTTGGTATATTTCTTTGACTTGCACTGCCAGGTTTTGGTACATCTGTATTTTCTCCTGCTGCGACTTCCCGATATTCTTATCCCAAGGTACCGAAACGTCTATCAGGACCCATTCATAACTGCTCGTGCACAAGTGTCATATCAGGGCGATTACTCTCCAAACGCTTGTCAGTCGTATCTCACCAGAGCTTCATTTGCTCATTCTCCACTACGGACAGTGATGAATGCACATACCACTTCTCTGACCACTCGGGGCCCATACTTCCTGCATCGTTCACAATATATTCTGAGACTACATTGTCATAGCGGCGCGTACCAGCTGAGTGGAGCTGGTGACAATACGTTGCACAATTTTAGCAGCTTTCCTTTACAGCCTGCATAAGGTTAAATCATCGATTCTATAAATAATGTTCTTGATAAAATTTGTTATTAATGCTTAGTATTGCGCTGCACATATCACGCCTTCAGTTTGATTCATTCATTTATTTCATTCACTTTTTCATTTTTCATTCATTTTTCAATTTTTCATTCATTTTTTTCATTTTTCAATTTTTCATTTTTCAATTTTTCATTCATTTTTTTCATTCATTTTTTAATTATTCATTCATTTATTTATTTAAGTACGAAAGTGGATCAATCTTATCTGAAAAAAACTTTTTTCTTTTGGGTACCTACTCATACCAACCTCCCCCAGAAATGGAAAAGCTAGCACAGAAGTAAATAAATCCCTGTAAACAAACATTTCAAATTTGAAAAATACCCTAAATTCAAAGTAACTATCAACTCTTACATTGTAAACAAGTGGCAAGAGTTGTGCAGCTACAAGACAAAAAACAAACTTTAGAAATTTTGTCCTTTCTAGGCGAATGGCAGTGGCGGACTGGACAGGGTGTTAGCTTAGCCGATAGCAAGTAGACCTCTGATAAATAAAAATAAAATAAAGAAACAGACAACTGTTTTAGTAATGAAAAGTAAAAAGTTATATGCATAATATCAGATACTCAAGTTCAATGTGAGAGGACATTTTTCAAAGCTGAAGGTAATAGAGACAAGATTAAAAAATTCGCTGCCTGAAGAGAATTTAGAATCATGCATGTTGTTTTCCATGGTAAAGGAATTGTTAGTTGAATTGAATGCAGAAGCAATTATTAGCTTTATTGAACAATCTGTGCTTTTGAATTAATTAAAATTTAATAATAAAAATTTAGATTATAACATTCTGTATTTACATTCATGGTGTAATGGATATAGGCTCAGGGTGGAGAACTCGGAGAGCAGAGTTCGAATTCTAGTAATTTTCGTTAGATTTGCTTATGCTCAAATACTCTTGGGAGAGGTATGAATGCAACACTTCTCCCCCCCCAGAACTATGGATTGAATAGGAGGACAGACTGGGTTATTTAGCTTTGGTTGGCAACCAGTCTACCGCAAAAAGAAATGGCAACCTACTGCGAGAAAAAAAAATCTGACTCGTCAGTCATGTATCGCTCAAGCGTGTATCAGGTATTGTATTTAACTGAATCACTAACCTACTGTTAATAGTAGGTCCAGTAGATCTACATTGTACTTACGAAGAAATAGTCATTAAAGTTTTTCTGAAAATAAAAGTCTATTTCTTCGTAATTACAGAGTAAGTGTACCCTTCCGCACACCCATGTATTGTTTGAAAATTTTATTTATTTATGAAAATTAAATAAATAGCATTGTAGTCGTTGGGTGGAGCCAGTTCGCCACTGTAGAACGACATGATGTCTGAGTTTCTCGGGTAAAAGAAGTTGTCCTATCAAGAACCAGAATAGGACACACCCATATCACGCACACACTTCTTAAAAAAAGAAAAAAAAAAAAAAAAAAAAAAAAAAAAAAGAATACCCTCTTGAATATATATATATATATATATATATATATATATATATATATATATATGAATGGTAATACTCGTTTTGAAAAACCTCGGTTGGTTCAACTTGTAATATAACAAATTGATGACTGAGGAAAAATCGGAAATAAAAAAAGAAAGAAAGAACCAAGAACATAACACTGTACGAATCCTCTCGTCAAGTGCTTGAGCTCTAAGTACAAAGAAAAAAAAAAAAAAAAGAGTAAAAAAAACTAAAAAGTACTGAAAACACTAAGTAGAGCAACAACTAAAATAATCCTAAGTAACCAGGCAAACCTACCTAAGTTTCACCTAAACGGATCTTCAGGGTAAAACTGGCTAAAAAGAGAAATAAAGGAACAATATTTATTAATAAAACCATGACCACGTGACCAAAAAAAAAAAAAAAAAAGTAAACCTACAATATGTTACTCTAATAACCAGCTTTTCTTATGTCGGCACTTAGAATTTCTGATTTTTGGTTTAATAAGTTTTTGGGGTTCTTTATGGATAGTGATAGTTAGCTTTTCCTCCATTCATAATGAACAAAATTTATCGTCTGCCTTATATTTATAACATTTTTTTAATATGGGATCATTATTGTCTTCCTGTTTAATCTTCCATATATCAGTGGACAGGGTAGTACGATGTTTATAGGTTTCGTGTTTGAAACTACTGAGGTGGTTATAATAACGTTTTTTAAAACTACTCCGGTTGGAACCTATACAAACTTTAGGCTTCTTACTATTACATTTAGCGATTTTCCAAACGTAGCTTGGATGTGGCACAAGGCCGAAAGTAAGGGGCACCCAGTGAGGATCGAACTCACTACTCAGTCGTAATTGTTCTAGCGAGACAAGCTTGCTAACCATTACACCACCTCGAGGTGCCTCATACTATTACATTTATTTCTATATATCTTTACCTGGTAGACCACGCACTCTTGTTGGCGCTTTGGCCTCAGGAGGCCATTCGGCCTTTTTTCTACAGTTACACTTTGTGGGGGCGGGGTATGGTTTGTTCCTGATTTTTTCCTATTATACTTGCTAATCATATATATATATATATATATATATAAACAAATGCTTAGAGGTACAAAATTTGTATATAGTTTTAAAAACAAGGAATGTATTGATTTTAATTTTAAAAGTCTCTAAGGCCCTTTCAATCAACATATCAGGAGACAATCGTTGGATAATTAATCAATGAAAAGAATATTAACGACAATGAAGAGCAAAAAAAGGGGGGAAACACACTAAAATAACAAACAAGTGTATATACTTGTAACGAAGGGAGGGGAAATAACGTGTAAGAATATATATATATTCTAACCTATTGTAGTAACATTGCCTCTATATGTCAACGATTTTATAACATGACTCATCTAGAGAACCTATTTAAGAAAATAAAATTAGGAACTATTCTAGCTTACTTGAAGGAGGTTGGTCTATACCAAATATTATAACTGAAAATGACTTCGTTCTAAAGGCATAACTGGAGAGTGAAGGGGCCAATGAACTAAAGGATTGTTTACAAGTATTTTCGGCATTAAATAACTGAGAGAGTTGATATGCCATTAAAGCAGAACAATCAATTTTTATTTTGCTGTTATGTCATCCAAAATTACGTCGTTGGCGCCGTGTTTGATGTCTGTGAATGGTTAGTAAAAACTACCCGCATGACATGAAAATTCGATTTAAGAGGTGTCAATATGACGTAATTGGCTTAGACGTCGTCCATGAAAGATGACCACCAGGATGCTATTTCACGTCTCCTCACAATCTATCACTTTATTTCTATTTCATGCCGCATATTTTGAGCTGGGTGGGGTATTCGAACTGCGACGTTAATAAAACAGAACACTTACACGAAGAAAGCTAAACGAAAAAAGAAGAAAAAAATCTACCCAGGGAAAACTTGAGGCGAAACTTTCTTCCTCTCCGGACCATCCTAAGATGGACGCCAAATCTGACCAACGGCGTTGACTAAACGCTGTGACCTCTAGTATTATGCACGCAGCCACACGTACCGCCCAAGGCGACACACACACAATCAATTCAATGGTGATCTTGGAGGACGGCAAAAAGACCTAAGTGGTGAGGTGTTCACCTCCCTAGATTAAATCTCGAGTTATTGCCGGCAGGAGCCACTGTGTCTATTAAGGGTGTGACGAACAGATGAAAGTCGCCATCAGGGGTGGTAGGTTTCGAGGAAGTTCACAGAAATCAGCTGTCGCGAGAAGAGTCAACGAAGTGATACCAAAACTTCTTAATTTATCAACCAGGGTGAGGTTTTAAAAATATAAGTAAAGATGGATCATTATGAGATAATAATTAGCGAGCTGACGATTACTGGGTAGTGAGTTAAATGTAAGATTAGAACACTTCACGCGTAACTTTTAAGAATCAAACATAAAAATTCAGGATGTAGAATAAATATTAAATATTTTAAATACCTTATAATTCAATATAAAATATCATAGATTAGGCTGCACAAGGGAGAGTTATGTCTAACACAACAAGATTAATATATATATATATATATATATATATATATGTGAAAAATATATAGAAAATAACTCGTTAGGTAAATCCAAAGTTTTAGTATTTTTGCTATTATTTTTAAAAAAAATAGTGCTCGATACAAATGTAGAGCATAAATATAATTATTTATTTAAAAATATGATTCTAACACGCTACATAAGATTTCTCATGTTTCAAAACAAGAGCCGAAAAATTCAATATAATTATTTGAATTAAATTGAATTAAAGTAAGCTCTGTTCCATCTTCAAGAGAAATCTTTTTTGGAATAACTTATTTCTGAAATTTCCGTGTTTTAATAGCATATTCATTATTGAAATCAAAATTTCTATGGTAACGGCTAGAGCAATTGTTTAAATAAAAAAGGGTGTAAGGTCTTAATAATTTCTATCAGTATAAAGTTACATTCACAGATGTCAAGTCAGGATAAGGTTGGGGTGTCTAAATTTGAAACGGAAGATGATTTCGCCTAGTCTGGTTCACGTGTCTATGGAGATTTATTTTATTTTATTATAATATATATTATATATATTATATATATATATATATATATATATATATATATATATATATATATATATATATATACACACACATCGGGTGTAACAGCATAATTGTACTTCCCACGAAATGTTTAATATCTACAAAAAAAAAAAAAAAAAAAAAAGAAACACTAAACTAACTGAATTTCTTTTTACCAATTTTTTAGATAAGACTTTTAGCTATCTTGACTCCCTTTGTCCTAAGAATCCCTGAAAAACCCTTTGAGTTTTTCAGCTAGAAAGTGAACAGGTTAAAATCGTTTTCTGTCAGACCCACCGTCTTCGTAAATGAGTAATGCTGAGAGGAACACATTATTCAGGCCTTATCGTCAAAGCCCATTCCAGGCCATCAAGAGTACAGTGAAACTACTTAAAAAAAAGAGAAAACAGTATTGAAGAAAACTGGATCAGGAGCTCACAGCAGGAAGAGGGATCATCATTTCAAACTTAGAGCTAAAGAGATCAATTAGAAAAGATCCAACTCAATCCATAAGACCTTTGGCACGTGCGCGAGTAGTTTCAGCTACAACAGTCCAAGGAGAAGTGAAAAAAAAAAAAAGACTTGAAAATGAAATCGTACGTAAAAACTGTGAGGTACCTTGTTAGTCCTTACCTAGGATTAATTAATGATGAACATGTCATTTTCGTTTACAATCGATTTCATCACGATTCTTTTGTTAAGCTTGGAGAGTAATTATACATTCTCATTGCAGAGCCCAATAGGGTTATAAAAACCTCGGATAATTCCAGTAAGATATTTTTAATCATTTCGAAGATACAACGGTTCAGGGTTTAATCTGACAAATGTAGAATTTTGCTTTTATACAATTGGGACAATTTTGCGTTTAATTAATCTAAGAACTCGAGTAGGTACCTCCAAGAATTCGTTAAAAAAGTGGATCATTATCATCATCACCTTGACTTTTTAATCTTAGGGCGGATCCGAATGCAGAAGCCACACTAACGGTCTAACAACTGTAGCCATCAGAAATTCTGCTACAGTGATACCTGTTCATTGTTTGACATTGTTCAACCAGTTTTTGCGTTGGCGTCCTCTCCTACGTCCACCTTCAACGGTGCCTTGCTTGATAGTTTTTTTTTGGTTTGGTTTGTTTTACGGTATATCAACCTCAATGGGTTATTTAATGCCGACAATTTTCATTGCTGGTAATATTGTTTTGTCAAAAATCTATTTCTGGTAATAATTTTTTTTCAAAAATGTGTGGCTGTAATAATTTTTTTTCAAAAGAACTATTACTCAAAAAAATGTATAGCTGGTAATAGTCTTTTTTTTTCCTCTTCAAAAATTTATTGCTGGAAATACTTTTATTTTAACAGTGCATTTCTAGTATTAAAACCTGTTTTTACACTTTCATGTTTTTACACCAGTTTGGGTGTTAACTATTTGCCCATAGTTGGGACCCTAACAGGTGCTACCACCCCGGGTCAGGGTGGACCTGGGAACACCAGCAATTAAGAAGTGGTTCCACGCTCCTCAAAACCTCCTGATCAGAGACCTTGCTGTTGGGCGTAGTTTATCATCATACCCAGGACTGTGCATGAGGTCCTTGCACAGGATGTCGCACCTTGTAATGTGTCCAGACCACGCTATTTTCTCCGTTTTTGTGTCTCACCAAACTTTCAACCCTTTTTTGCACAAACGCATTCTTTTGTTCCCAATAGAATATACCAAGGAGTTTTCTCATGGCTTTGTTCGCAAATGCTTGGATCCTTCTCTCTGTATCTACCAACAGTGTCTACGTTTTCCATCCATATAAAAGAATGGAGATTACCAGCAATTTGTACGGCGTGTCCTTTATTTGAAAGCTGATTTTGCTCCTCCATATTCTTGTCAATTGGGAGGAAAATCGGAAAGAGTTTGAAAGAAAAAAAAATGAAAAAATTGTTGTCAAGAACTTTGTGTTATTAAGATAAAAGATCAAAAGAAATGTTTTGATGGAAAAATGTTTTTTTTTTTCTTTTTAGGACATTGGAAATTTTCATTAACTATATTTGTTTTTGACGCTCATAAATTAGAACGGGAAATTTGAGCGCATTTTTCGGCGAAAAACAACGATTTGGAAATTCTTGTAAAAATCTGAAAATTGTCCGATTTTAATGAAACTTTTTGGACTTATTCACGAATCAGTTCAATTAATTTTCATGAATTTTTTCTCTGAAGTTTTTTTCTAACTTGGGATGAACTCGATTAAAAAAAAAAATAAAAATAAACGAAAAATAACACATAGCTGGGAGAAAGAGAATTGAATTCAAACCTTTCCTCAGGATATTTGCGTGTAAGTGAATATAACGAACCCAACTGAAATTTGAACTCAGCTCACCGATTAACAATTCCGAGCCTTTATCCATTACACCACCCACACATCCAAGCTTAAAACACCTGCTATTCCCAAACATTTATCAAAGAAGGTACTGATCAGGCTCGACGTTGCTTAACTTCTCACGAGTAAATTAAGAAAAAAAAATTCTACATTTCATTTTTTATGTGCCGTCTCCCTTCAGGATATGGCCAGCCATGGCTCTACACAATTTCCTATCATTTGCAGCTCTAAGCATTGTCTCTCCTTACTATTATACTGTGAGTGTCAAATTCTCCAAGCCCTATTAAATGTATCCCCATAAATCGCAACTACCTCTTTGTGATTCTAATACAAGTTTTTTTTTTTTTTTTCTAACAGGAAGTAATAGCTTCCTTATTAAATTTAATGATTCAGGATGAATTTGTCAAAAAAAAAAAAAAAAAAAAAAAAAAAAAATCATTAAATTCAAGCTCCAAATCTTAAGCTATTTTTTGCGTGGAGGATGGTTAATAGCTGAGAAAATCCAACACCCTATGATGATTACAGACTAATTGACATTTAAAACATCATTACCATTTTTATGTTTTATATAAGGCATTGCGCAATATATCAACTTTAATATATATATATATATATATATATATATATATATATATATATATATATATATATATTACAACGATGTTCACCCCTGTACAAGGCCCAAGATTCGCACAGCATATGAAGGTATGTGGGGAAAATAACGGTTAACCCTAAAGTTGATTAACCTTAAGATTGAAGTGATCGGGAAAGCATTCTCTCGGAAATCTGTTCCACAGTACAAGGACCGGTGGGTTTGGTTTGTTTGGTCTGTTTCGTTTTATGTCAACCTCAATGGGTCATTTAATGCTGACAACTTTCTTTTCTGGTAATATTTTTGCTTTGTGAAAAATCTATTTCTTTTAATATTTTTTCCTCAAAAATGTATAGCTGGTAATATTTTTTCAAAAACGTATAGCTGGTAATATATATATGTTTCTTTTTTCAAAAACGTATAGCTGATAATATATATATATATGTTTCTTTTTTTCAAAAACGTATAGCTGATAATATATATATATATATATGTTTCTTTTTTTCAAAAACGTATAGCTGGTGATATTTTTTCAAAAACGTGTAGCAGGCAATACTATTTTTTTAAAAAACGTATGATCAGAGACCCTGCTGTTGGACTTAGTTTATCGTCTTACCCAGGACGCGGATGTAGTTTATTGTCATACTCAAGACGCAGCGACTG